GGTATAAGTAGCACCCTTGACCAGACACTGTATTCTAAACAACTCAGACTCACATTTTGCTAAGTTTTCCTGTCAGCAACATAACTATCTCATGTTGCCTTTCCATTTTTACATGATGGTTCTAATTTTGAAAAAGAAAAACTTAATTTCTTTCTAATACAGTATTTCAGTTTAGTATCTGGGTTTAATAACCCCTAAGGACTTAAACTTGCTTCAAAACTTGACTTAATCAGAGTGCCAAGATTAAGATATGGTACCTGATATTCTTCCCTACCTGTTTCTTCATGATTTTCACTTGAAGTCACAGCCTTTTTTTGGCACAAATCTATGGTTCCAAAGAACCATAAAATCAACTTACATCCACATTTTAAATGAGGGCAGTAAGGGAGTAGGACTATGTGAGAAAGGAATTAGAGCTGTCGGTTTGCAAGCTATTGTGCTAGGAAGCTCAGAGAAGCCTCTTTGACCTCTTAGGGAAACCAGGTCCAATGATAGGACCTTTGGAAATATGCAAAGATGGTCAGACAAATATGCATTTGTAGAATGCATATATAATAAGCCTTTGGAACATTCTAGAAAAAAAATCCTATCAGACTAGGTGGTACACACCTATAATTCTAGTACTTGGGGGATGGAAGCAAGAGGATCAGGAGTTCAAGGCCACCCTTAGTTACATAGTAAGTTAAGCCTAGCCTAGGCTACATGAGAGCCTGTCTCAAAAAAAGCCAAAAAAATTCCTAGAGAATTTACCAAATGTCAACAGTTTCAAGCTTGTTTTAACATAGCTGCATATCATCCAACATTGGTAATTCTTGCAGCTATGTTAGTACAAGCCTGAAAATGTTGAAGATTTTTCTAGTATTCTGTTAACAACTAACATTTAAATGGATACATTTATACTCTTATACTGTATTCAAATAGAGATTTGAAGTTAATCAATATCTTTCTTAAATTTCTCTGCTGCCAAAAATAGGATTTGAACATTTAGGCTTAAAGGACTGACAACCTCAATCAAAGTTTTGCTACCTGAATTTGGTGCCAAGATTAAAATATGGAGCATTTGCACCAGTTTTTATAAGCCATTGCAGTCTATTAAGTTTATTTCATGAGTCAGGCCTCAGGAATAGTCACTTTCTCATGAACTAATGAATGAATGAATACTATCTTTCAGCATGACAAAGCCATGTGCAGTGAGGAAATTGCCATGAGGCCACAAGTAGCACTTTCTGCACAATATGTATATATATATATATATTTTAATTTTTTTTTGTCTTTTTGAGAAGGGCCTCTCTGTAGCCCCAGCTGTCCTGGAACTCACTATATAGACCAGGCTGGCCTTGAACTCACAGAGATGCACCTGCCTCTGCCACCCGAGTGCTGGGATTAAAGGCGTGCGCCACCACGCCCAGCATACAAAATATATATTTTAATTCTAAGTTAAACATTGCACATTACCTAAAAGAGCTTAGGTAACTCCTACATTGTCTGAAACTGCTCTATGTTGTGTGAAATATACAGAATTTTTTGCTTGAAGGTTTTATAATTAAGTATATAATGTGATATATAAGTATTTGGTGATTTTAGAAAATCTTACGTAAAAGAAAAACAGCTACAGATTTTGTTGTTAAGTGCTAGTGATTGAACCCAGGGTTTTTGTACATGCTAGGGAAGAACTCTACCATTGGCTTATTCTCCCAGCCCTGCTAATAGGTGTCACAATATTTTTAAATTTTTCTAAAAAGGTATATTTTGGGGGCTATAGATATAGGTCAGTTGGAAAGTGCTTGCCTAGGATACACAAAGCCCTGGATTGATCTCCAGCACCTCATGAACTGGCATGGTGGCAAACACCTATAATCTCAGTACATGGGAGGTGGAGGCAAGAGGATCGAAAGTTCGAGATCATACTCAGGGACTTACTGAATTGGAAAAGAAAATGAAACAAAAAAAACCTAAATTTGTGTATTTGTGTACAGATAATCTGTATGTATATATGTTCATATATATTCAAAAAATAAATGAGAAAGACCAATTTATATAAACAAGAGCTAGATGAAGTAAGTGGAAATCTCAGTTGATTGTAGTCATTGAAAATGTGCTGGGTTTTGCTTACATGGATTCTAAATTTAGAATATAACCTGATCCGACGACGCCTTAGTAAGAATCTAGTTTTGAAGGGTCTTGTGACTTTCCTAATATGTTGCTTTTTCTTTAAAAAAAAAAAAAAATGTGTGTTTTTTTTTTTTTAGAAGAGCAAGTGAAGGCTTAAAGAGCATAAATCCAGGCGAAACGGCACCCTCTATGCGACTGCTGGCCTATGGTGAGTTAGACTGTATGATGTCTGTGAAAATCAAGAGTTGGACTAAAAACCATTTTTTGTCTTTTGTGTCTTTGTAGATTTCAAACAGTATTTCATTACTACCTCCTACTATTGCTACATATTAATTTTACAATTTTCCTGCTTCCTTATGTAAAGGAAAGTGATTGCTAGTGCCCTTTATCTCTGTGTCCATTAACTATTGATCTCTCTTGAATGTGTACACATTCAGTCTAAGTAACAGTTTCCAAGTGATGTAGCTGCTACCTCCTCTGGATATTTACCATGACTTCGGCTGTACTAGGACGATTCTTCATATTAATACAGTTAGTATCTCTGCATACTATTCTTTCAGAATTATTTAAAAATTGGATTTAGGTCTTTGTGTAGACCTTAGTCTGGCCCAGAGATCACACCTTGTAAAGGACAGTTACTCTCTCAAGCTGAATTCCAGCTTATACTTAACCAGGCCTTAGCACTGTAAACCAAAGTGAGGGCTTCAGCGTGTCACCCTTCTGCCTCCCTGGATTCTTCTGTGCCTCTCTAGGTGATTTTCTCTCTTTTTCATTTCATTGCTACATCCTGCTGTTTATTTCCTTTTTCTCTTCCCCTTTCTCCTTCCATTCATCGTTCAGACCTCCAGAGCCAGGTGTCCAGTGCTTCAACAACAGCAGATGTACCCTTTTCTCTGCAGCAAAATAGCATTTCCTAGACCTTGCAAATTTGATTTTCAGAGAACTTATAACAGGAAAAAGGTTTAACAGTGTTTTCTTCTTCTTTAGTTTCTGGCTTGGGCTTTGGAATCATGAGTGGAGTATTTTCCTTTGTGAATACCCTGTCTGACTCCTTGGGGCCAGGCATAGTGGGCATTCATGGCGATTCTCCTCAGTTCTTCCTTAATTCAGGTACGTGTAGCTGTGTGTGTTTAGGGTTCTACTCTAAATGATCATCTTTATTGGAGTTCACTTGCTTAGGAATTCAGGTAAATGAAAATTTGTCATGCCTTTTTTAAAAAATTATTTTTACTTACATGTATTTGTGTGTGCCTATATACACCTAAGTGCAGGTGTCCTCCAAGGCCAGAGGCCATTGAATCTCTTGGGGCTGGAGTTACAGGCAGTTGTGAACCATTGGACATGGGTTCTGGGAACTGAACTCTGGTCCTCTACAAGAGCAGTATGTACTGTTAACCCCTGAGTCATCTCTTAATGGCTATGCAGCATCTTTTAAAGGCAAAATATTATTAGGCATTAAAAAGTGAAGGACTGAACGGAAAATGATTTATTAGAGCACTTTAGAATATTAAAGGAATTTAGCTGTGTAAGATTTATTTTTGTAATACTTAAGTGTTATACTATAGCTGAAATATTAAAAATTAATTTTTTTTTGGTCTTTTTGAGACAGAGTCTCCCTGTCTGGCCTGGAACACTCTATGGAGACCAGGCTAGTCTTGCTCTCACAGAAATCTGCCCATCTCTGCCTCCTAAGTGTGGGGATTAAAGGACTGCACCACTATACCTGGCAGAGGTTAATTTTTAAAAAATATTTTATTATTTTTATGTGTATGTGTGTATCGCCTGCATGTAGGAAAGTGCACCCGTGTCATGCAATGCCCACAGAGGACAGAAGAGGCTGTTGGATCCCCTGGAACTGGAGTTACAGACAGTTGTTAGCTGCCATGTGGGGGCTGGGATTCGAACCTGGGTCTTCTGCAAGAACAACCAGTGTTCTTAATTGCTGAGCCACCTCTCCAGCCCCAACTTTTAAAATTTTTAACATTTATTTGGTGAGAGAGAGAGAGAGAGAGAGAGAGAGAGAGAGAGAGAGAATGAGAATGAATGCATGCCACAGTTAGAAGACAACTTGTAGGAGTGGGTTCTTTCCTTCCACCATACTGGTTCCAGGGATTGAACTCAGGTCCTTAGGCTTGGCAGCAAGCACCTTTACCCACTGAGCCATCTCACCGGTCCCTGGAAGTTCATTTTTATTGCCCAGTTCTAGGGATTGAACCCAAGACCCCTGATCTTAAGCCCTTATCTTTAATTAATCTATGTCTCAGTGCCTTTTGGAGATAGGCAGTGTGATTTAGTCTTGAAATTCAGAGGAAAAAAATAGTAGATGCAGCGCTATGAAAGGACCATCTTGTTTTAAGTGTCTGTTCATCCACCATCTAAAAATTATTAATGATCACAAATTTTAGTAGTATGTATAATTAGCCTATTTTATTAAGTTCCACATTCTTTTAAAAATAGAAGGAAAATCCATTGTGGTGGTGGTTATCTCCACAACAGTTGTCATCAAACTAAGTGACCTTACACGGCCCAATTCTTTCAATTAAATCAATATTCACATCCAGCTAAAAGCTCTTTAGGGAATTCACCTTTTAGGGGGAATATGAGAAAAAATGAATAGCATTTCAGTAGCAGTTTAAGATTAATAAAGGTATAGTGAGGAATGACTGATTTAAAGAAAACCTCCTAACTGCGCTAGCTTAGAGACGTCTGCCTATTGCAGCAACCCTAACCCAATGCCAGTCTCCTTTCTCAGTTGGCTTTCCTTTCCAGGTGAGTTCAGGTCTTGGCATCTTCTGTGGAGATTCAGAACATCAACCCTCTATGCAGCTAGTAAAGTCATCTCTGTTTCAAAGGCTTTACCCTTTCAAGGTCTATAACATGCATTTAAGGCCCTTTAACTCTGGCTGCAAGTTAAGAGGAAAGTGTGCTAATGGGTCCTGCTTGTTAATGTTGCCTTCAACAAAGCAAATTACCTTTTTAAATATTCTCAAACTATAATATTTCTGGCAAAAAGTTTTGAATCATGATAATGTTAGGGTTTTTTTAATGAATAGCTTTAATAGCCAAAGTCTGTTAGAGTTCAATGGAAATTAATGAAATGCATCTTGTGTTACTGTGTCAGTCTTGTGAACGTCCTGAGTTGCTGCAACTGCTTTCTTTCCAGCCTCAAGTTTCACCAGCTTTTTCACTAGATGGTGCTACTTCCCTCCAGTGAACAAGGCTGTTTTCAAAAGCCCAGCTTAAAGTGATTCTTTGGGAAAGTTAAAGATTTTTTAGTACTTTGAGAACTAGATTTGGTTTCCATGAATTCAAGTGAAAGTTCAATATTCAAGAAGATATCTTAATGTCTTTAGCCAGATTAGGATGGCAGACTGATTATGCTGTGATAAGTAATTACTTATGCTGTAATAAGTAATAGCTGTTGTTTTGTTCTATGTAAGTTTCTTGTGATAACATCATTCTTTGAGGCATAAACCTTGAATTAATACATTTAAGAAATTTATTTAATCACAATCCCAAATTTGTATGCATACATATTTGTATTTATGTTATATATTACTTCTAATACCATTTACAGCTCACTTTTAATTTTGCAAGTACATTTGTAAGTTTGTGTTTAATGTATTCAAATTCAAATACTTAATAATCAGAATAAGGAATATGGGATCACTAATTAGTATATCTATGTTAAAATGTGTGTTAGTAAGATACACATTGTCTATACATGCCTGTCTGTACATGGGTTTTTTAATATTACAGACAGGCATAGTTTATCAAGTGTATGTATAAGTTAATTTTTTGTTATTTGTAGTTATTTGTAGGCTAGCATTAAGTTATTAGGATCACTGCCACTTCTTGGAAATGCTGGGTAGAGAAGAAAGTATGGGAATTGACATCCTAATTTCATGTCTATCCTGGCTCATTAATTTAGTATTTTGGGACAGGTCCCTTAGATTCTTTAACTACTCATTCTATAAATTAATTATTAAAGATTTCTCTGTGCCTTCTATTCTTGAGAGGAATAAAAACAAACAACTAATTACACAAGGCATAATATAAATGTTACAGAGAGGAGGCGAGGTGTTAACACACATGTGGACGGTACAGCACTTTACCTCTGCTATATTTACCCTAGTTGTGATTGAGTGTGTGGTTATTTGTTTAATGTCTCTCTCCAGTTGGGTGCTAAGCAATGTAAGTGCAAGGACTCCCATCTTTCTTGTCCCCAGAGCCTCATGGAGTCCTTTGTTGATAGATGACACTGGGTAAATATTTACTGAAAAATGAAAGCTAGGCGTAGCTTATGGAGAAAATGCCATTTGACTGGAGAGTTACTTAAAGATAAACAATAGCTAGGCCAACAAAGGAAGGAGGTTGCAGAGGAGGATGTTCCAAGTTAAAGGAAGCAACCTCTCTCTACAGGCCTCAATTTCCTGATCTTTCAGGAAGGACAGAAAAAAGCTGAGTATGTTGGTCTATGCCTAGAGTCCTAGCACTCAGGAGGCGGAGGCAGGCAGACCTCTGACTTTGAGGCCACTCTCGTCTTCCTAGCAAGTTCCAGGCCATCCAAGGCTACACAGTGAGACCCTTCCCAAGTTAAAGGAAGCAACCTCTCTCTACAGGCCTCAATTTCCTGATCTTTCAGGAAGGACAGAAAAAAGCTGAGTATGTTGGTCTATGCCTAGAGTCCTAGCACTCAGGAGGCGGAGGCAGGCAGACCTCTGACTTTGAGGCCACTCTCGTCTTCCTAGCAAGTTCCAGGCCATCCAAGGCTACACAGTGAGACCCTTCCTATAAAAAAAAAAAAAAAAAAAAAAAAAAAAAAAAAAGGCATAAAAAAAAAAAAAAAAAAAAAAAAAGAAAGAAAGAAAGAAGAAATAATGCCTAGTTCAGAGCTGTTAGGAGTTAACTCGGTGAAACTAAACTCGATGTTATAAAAATTTGAAAAGGAAAACAATCTACCCTCTTTTCAACTTCATTAGCTTAATCTCACTTACCAACCTTCACTTGACCCTATGCAGCACTGTGGCTATGTGGGACACATGTCTTGGCAATTCTGGCATTTGCTGACTTGTTTCACAGCCACATTCCTCCTTCATTCCTGGCCCCACTGTGCTAGTTTGCTCTTGTACCTCCCCAAAGCTCTGCTAATGAGAGTGTTCATGTCTGCACCTGCATGGCCTGATTTCTGGGGGAATACTGACATTTTAACTTATTTTATTGCTGTACTCTGAAGTTTTCCAATATTCCTGAAACAGTTTTAGACAAAGTTTCTAGACCTGCTCTTCATAATGACAGAAGAATAGGTATCAGGAATGAGGAAGGGAGGGGCAAATGGGAAGAGATAAGGGAACTTAAATGGATCTGTACTTGGGAGCATTTAGGTATATCCAGGAAGGTTAAAGAGCCAATGCAAATGTTGCCTCTTAAAGATAACACTGAAACATTTTGCTTAAAAATAAGTTAGACTGAAACATTGTCTACTGAGATAATTTGATGTATTAGAAGAGGAACTCCACTGAACTAAATAGCTACAGTTATTACAAACATACATAGTTACCTGTTAAGACAATTTCCTGAATATTCTAGAGCATGGGAATTATGGAAGTTTCTTTTGTTAATCTGAGTTAAAGCTAATTTTGTTATTCTTACGGTTAGTTTAGATTTTTAAAAATTACATTTTGAGTGTGTGTGTGTATGCATAAGTGTATACCATGACATGCATGTGGAGGTCATAGGACAACTTGTAAGAGTTGGTTGGGTCTCTCGTTTTGCCACTTGGGCCCTGGGGATCAAACTCAGGTTGTGAGGCTTGGTGGCAGGTACTTTTGCCCATTGAGCCCTTACCCCTAGAGAGGTTGTATTCTATTTTCAAGAAAAATATTAGAACAAAGTGAATTTCAGGGTTAGAGTTATTGAAGGACTTTTAGGATTTTGTGTGTAATAACATGTACTGACAAGGGTTTAGCAGTGAGAAGGGGACGCTGTACAGGTGCTGTTACCAAATCTTCAGTTCTAGTTGGAGTTAATTCCACTTGTTAATAAATATGAAAATAGCACCCTGTAACTATTTGTATGTGGTAGAATAGTTTAGATATCCAGGCCTCAGT